CCCCACACAAAAAAAAAAATCTCAAAGTCTAGCAAATACAACTTAATTGTTTGACCTTAACTATGGTTTAGAAGGTGAGTAGCCTAACTTGCCAGGGCAAGGAAAAGGTCATCAATCGTGCCTACAGTAGTCATTCTGGGTTATTTAATATGTTTGTTGAACATGTATGTTCTATACCTACTGGTAATGGAAAACAATATCGTCTTGGTGAGCGGACCTTGAAGCCGGCATGTTTTACTATGCCACCTTGTGTGCACCTCGAATGATCGATCGGGAAATTATTTGTTAGTCACAAGCAAAAATGCAGGATAAACCTCCTACTAAGGTTGAAACAAATGGACGCACACTGAGTGTTGTTGGTGGCATCAAAACCTGATTTCTCCAGGTTATACCTCGACGTCTCAGCATATGTGACATCCTTTGAGGCCAATATTCATTGAGATATAAAATTGAAGTGCCCACTTTTTTGTTAAAACAAGCGACAGACCAATCAGTAGCATTTGTAAGTTGATATCATAGCTATGACATGATTGGACACCTTATTGGGCATAGCTTAATGCATTCGGGCTGAAGTACGGAATGTCATATGAAATCAACAAAGTTTTTTCTTGCTGTTAATGTTAAAATGCTTTAAGATTTTATAGGATTAGATTTGAATTGCTAGAGGACCTTGTTAGAACAAACACATGGGAAAAATAAGTTTTCAGAGAGTTGATCCTCGCACATTTTGTTTTTTTCCCTTTTAGAAGTCATGGTTGGGATTGATGCATAGTAGGTATCGTTGTGGAAGTGTTGTTAAATGCGTAATATATTTAATGTATAAATGCAGTTTTATGAGCACTAATGGAGGAGCCCCTTTCTATAGCATCCAGAAAATAAATTTTTGTCCTGCCTGATGTTTTTAATTGTGAGAGCATTTGTGGAAATGATACTAAGAGCTAACATTCATATCGTTATTCATGAAATTATTCCATTTTCTCTATACACAGTCGATGTTGGAGAGGCATCAAATTGCAGAATCTATGAATTTCCCTGTGCAGCAGAGAATGGAGCGACAGGCATCTCTCGCTAAGGAACACATGGAGGAACACAAGGCTGCATTGCAGAGGGCAGTTGCACTGGATGTTCCCCAAGCATATTCTCCTTCTGCATACGGAACTTTCCGTGACATAGAGGAAGGGCAGGATTTTGAAAAACCAGGGGAGTCATCTCTCACAATTTCCAAAAAGAGGAGAGAAAGCTGGGATGATTTAGCAGGGCGTCTTTTTTTACACAGATGAGTCCAGACGAAATGGGTCATGAAGTCTTTAATTGGTCAATGTCATATTCATTTTTTCTTTTCATAGGGTCCCTTAGGATACATTTGATGCCTTGTATAGGTTAGTAGGATGGCGTTTGGTAGAGAACAGGCACAAGTTTTTGTTAGTTCACTAGTTGGAATCATGAATGATAGCACGTCCGGACCACATCAGTTATTATCTCCAAGGGACAAAATTTTGTGTGCCCAAATATCAGTACATAGATATTTAAAAGAATCAAAGTTCAGGTTTCATTTACATACTATATTGGGACATGGCTAATATTTAGACTATATTCGCCAATTCACATCGGAAGTAATAGCAGACCTACCAGTTTAACAAAAGAGCAGGTGGCTAATATATATAGACCATATCACCTTAAAAGATATACTAGACCTATCAGGTTAACATACAATAATGATTAGGAGATGCTGGCCACTATTTAGGCATGCAAAATTTGACGAGAAAATGGTATTAGTACATCTTTTCCAGTTCCAGATTGTTGAGCTGAATATATGCTTAAAATACTTGTAGAATTACAGAATTCCTACACCATTCAAGCTGATTATATAATCATTATGAAAGGTGCATCACTGTTTCAAGATCCAGTTTCCTCTGCTAATAATCCATTCTTTGAGCACCTTGAAAACTAGTTTTGTTTTCTACAACTGAAATTGTTTAATATAATATGACAACATGAATCACACATCTTAGGTCAAGTTACGGTATGTGATCATCTTCAACATGAATATACATCTTACGTCAAATTGCAGGGATACACAGATAGCACTGCAGCTTCATATTTCCTATGGAAGTGTATTCTTACATTCTACTACAGAAATATAATCCCAGAGAGGGGGTTTGCTCACAAGCTGAAGACTGCCTGCTCTCCTGAACTATGCTTAAATTATACTGAAAAATATATATAATCCTGCTTTCCCCAAGGAAGAGGGAACTTATGCACATAGTGAAGATTGCCTGCTCTCCCGAACTACGATTGGAACTCAAGGACTGCTTCTCCTGCAAAACAGACAGGAGGAACCAATGACAATGTCACCATAATACTGCCTATGAGATGATCTTGGGGATGATAGGTCAATAAATAGCTGGCAGAACAACCACCATCATTAAGGAAGAGGGAAGTCAGGGAACTTATGCACATAGTGAAGATTGCCTGCTCTCCCGAACTACGGTTGACTCAAGGACTGCTTCTCCTGCAAAACAGACCGGAGGAACCAATCACAAAGTCACCATAATACTGCCTATGAGATGATCTTGGGGATGATAGGTCAATAAATAGCTGGCAGAACAACCACCATCATTACAACAACAATAACAACAACAACAACCCAGTAAAATCCCACAAGTGGGGTATGGGGAAGGTAGAGTGTACGCAGACCTTACCCCTACCCCAAGGGGGTAGAGAGGCTGTTTCCGATAGACCCTCGGCTCAAGGAGACGAAAAAGGAGACAAAAAAGACAATATATTAGTACCATCAACAGAAACCATAGAAATAATAACAGCATCACAAGTACCAGAAAATAGATGAAAAACAGTAACAATAACACGTAAGTATGGCTTGGTACTATGAAAAGTGAAAGAATAGTGTGGACACAACAATAATCACTAGCAGTCTAAGACACAACCTTATCAGACTAGTCTCTCAACCGGTACCAAGTAGAAAAGAGCTCCACTACCTCCTAACCTACAACCCTAATGCTCGACCTTCACACCTTCCTATCAAGGGGCATGTCCTCGGAAATCTGAAGCTTCGCCATGTCCTGCCTGATCACCTCCCTTAACACTTCTTGGGCCGTCCTCTACCTCTTCTCGTACTCGTCAAAGCCAACCGCTCACATCTCCTTAATGGGGCACTCGAACTTCTCCTTCGCACGTGCCCGAACCATCTGAGCCTTGCTTCCCGCATCTTGTCATCCATCGGAGCCACGCCCACCTCTCCCGAATATCTTCATTCCTAATCTTATCCATCCTAGTGTGCCCGCACATCCACCTCAACATCCTCATTTCTACTAAACAACCACCATCATTAAGGAATAAAATATTTGCACCGAGATAAATAACATGCTTTATAATCTATTTGTTCACTGGAAGAACCATAGACGATAAAGGCAAGGAGCTGATTTATTGATATGATGTCCATTAGCCATGATTTCAACTAGCATCTCCCCGTGGTTAACTGGTTATCAATTATCGTCTTCCAAGACGATATTTCCTCCTCTACTAGTTGCTTTTTCTTTTTCCTCAGCTCGATTTGTTATTCTGTTTCGAAGCAAACTCAGGGTGGCGCTGTGAGATCAAACTCTTCTGTGGCTGAAGGGGTGACTAGTCTCTATCTCGTCCTTGGAGATTGGAGTTAATCAAGTTTATGGTGAGCTAGAGCCACAACACGAGAGATGTAACTAATATTCAAATCTTAGACAATATCACTGATCCTAAGCTAGCGTTTGGCCATAGATTCCCAAATTTATTCTGAAAAATCTGATTTGGGTGAAGTTTGGTTTGAAGATGAAAATGTGTTTGAACATCAGTTTTCAAAACATATTTCCCAAATTTATTTTGGAAAAACATGAAACATGACTTATACCCACAAGTTCTAAAAACTATCACAAATACCCAACAATACCATTATCAATAACATTCATTATATTATCACAAACCATAGTCCTGAACATAAATAAATTTGATACAAAATTATCATTTTTATAATGAACTACATGATACACTATCAGGTGACCGAGAAGACGAAGCAACATTGTTACAAAATAATAAATGGTAAGCTCTTTTATAAAATACAAAAGTTTGGGGCAATTTTTAAAAAATGTAATAGTGATATTTTAGCCCAAAACCAGCTATTGAGCTGGTTTTGGGATTTGGAATTTTGCCAAAATGTAGGCAAAATCTATGGCCAAACATGTGTTTGCCAAATAAAACCCAAATTTATTTTGGCAAAATCTATGGCCAAACGGGTCCTAAGTCTATAATTCAATTCGAAATCTAAGTTTCGTAGACTTGTTTTGAACCCTCAAGTCTTGACCCAACTAGTTCTACCCAAATAAATCACAAACTAGTCAACCACAAAATTACCAAATATGAAGACACGAAATTGACACAAGAGTAGAAGACTTCCAATCCTTTACCATGCATGCGCTTAACAAATCGTTCAAATTCCATGAAGTTCTGTCCGTCAATGAGAAGGGGACCGAGCCTAAGGTAGGTAAAAGCAAAAATATGCTTCCCATCCGGATCATTCAAGAGCTTAGCTTTTTCCAATAAACAATTATAGCCACCTCTATCATGACACAGGAGTGCATTCTCACTGCAAACTGGTAGAGAAACATCCCAAGCCGCATTCAGCACCTGCAATGAGATGTTCGAAGGCAAAGTGAGTTAATCTGCAGTTAACATAATGGTCAACAGATTTGCAAGTATAGCAAAGCAAACTGTCTTTTTAGTAGACATTTATCTTTCAGCAGAGATGAAACTCAAGCTATAGTGCTCGAAGCTTACTTGCCAGGCTAATCCTTCAGGATCACCTAAAGCCTCAGAGAAATCCACTGCCTGCTCTAACATGCTCATTTCAGCACACTTGAAGTTCAGTGCAGCTCCATGCTTCTTCAGCATTGCCGCAATTGCAACATAACCATCTCGATTGCTTGGGTTATAAAACCCAGCTGTTAATTCGGCAGCATGGCTAGATGTCTTATACCACCAATGAATTCCTGATAGCTGTTCAGATTTAAAATATGGTAGAAATTGGATCAACTATACCTAATATAAAAGAAGTCTCTTCTCTTCTAGCGAACTTCAACTAAACGACAAAGCAAGCATAAAAAACTTTCTATTTCAAGTGCATGAATTTCATCAAAGGATGTATGCGAGAAAAACCTGAATGATTATCATTCACAAGCTTTTGAAAATTAACAAAAGAAGATTTGTGAGTACTGGCAGGCGAAACAGTATTGGAAAGTTAGCCAAAGCACTTTTTTTTGATAACAGAGTTAGCCAAAGCACTTCCGGCAGAAAGAAAAAAAAAAGCATCCTTACAACATCTAATATTATTGCATTTGGATTAGAAAACAGTCCGAATTGAGAAGAATTTTATAAAAAAAAAAAACAATTTTCTGAGTTTTTGGAATTGAATTTGAGAAAATTAGTTTTGTTTTTATTTTTGGAGAATTGATGTTGGCTGGTCATCTGCAAAAATACCATTAAAGCTCTAAACTACTTTCTTAGGAGAACAATATTCTGAGTGTTTGGATTGAATTTGAGCAATTTGGTTTTGTTTTTTAATTGTGGCGAATAAGTGTTGGGCTTGTCATCTGGGAAAACAGCAATAAAGCTATAAACTAGTTCTGAGGCTTTCATAACTGACTAATGCTATTTTATGCAGAAAATATTTTGTTTTCTGCTTTTGGCTTTGGAGACCAAAGTGCAGAACTAGACTGGTTTTGCAACCAACATTTGCTCCTAAAATATTTCGGTCAGTGGAAAACCTTGAAATCATTAATGGTTTCTGGACCAGCAATTAATTAATCAACAATGCCTCAATTCTGAACTAGCTGGGTCAACTATATAAATTTTCTACATCCATCAATCTGATCATAGGCATAATCTTCAAAGCGTAAAGCCGTGAACTTTATACTACGAAGTCCAGGAGGTAGAATTGAGTCCTAGAATTCTTTAATCGCTTAAAACTTACAAGTAAATATTCATATTATCATTTTAAGGATAAACTTTATGCACAACCTATCTTACTCGGCTAGATGAATAATGCAAGTTAGTTTGCAATGGCTTGGTGGGTTGCCACCTCTGAGTCATTTGTAACTGCCAAATTGATTTCCACAAGTAAAGGCTACCAAGGTTGGGCAAGAGGACAGATGGAGAGAATAAATAAGGTGACAGCAATGTGAACATGACAAGAACAGAAGGCTGGTTACTCCTTTCCAATTTTCAAGTAAAAGTAACAGCCCATTGCCTGTTAAGTGCCTTTCATAGTACATTGTAAAGTTGAGACTTGACAGCTGGCTCTTCTACTATAATTTTGGTTGAAATTGTCCTTGATTCAAGCTTCTTGAGAATTGTTTAAGAAAAGAACTTTTAGTTACTGAGAGAACATCAATGCATACTAAACAGTACTCTCTAATGTGCATAAGGACAATGACAGAAAAGCTTGAAACATGTCATGCACCGTCCCTGTTTATTTAGATTATAGTAAGGAGGATTTTTCTGGATAAAGAA